TGAATAACTGGGCCACATTTAGATGTGGCAAATCCATCTGCTATCCTACATTACAGCACTTTGCTGATGGGAAACTCGGCCAATGGAAACTGCTCAAAGGTTTGCACTTAGATGTCATGTGCTGAGAGGAGCATGTGAAGTCGGGGATGTTGCGTATGATTAGATGAAGGATGTCGCATGCTGAAGTTTAATACTTAAAGTTGCAATGAAAGAAAGTAGCAACAGATCTTTTCTTCCATAGTTTGACATAGATATGAGTGAAACAGATTATCGGGGGAAAAATATGTATGGTGGGGGCATGATTCTATGCATCGGTTGTTGATTGGATTTTGAGATGTAAGTGTAACTCATATGGAGGCAGATTAACGTGAGCTTGCAGAAAAGGGTTTAAGCGGACTAAGGGGCTGTTCACACATAATGAGTTTTTCAATTTCACTGTGCTACTTTGCATTGTTTTTCTACGCAAACACATGCTAGACGGACATGTTTGTTTGTTGCGCTCACATCTTTTGTCTTTGTCGTGTGCATGACAATCTAGGTCAAAAAATAAATAAAGCTCACATTAAGATCTATAACAAATTTTTAGAAAATAGATAGGGTGAAATTTCAAGACCTTGACACCATGCATGAGCCATAGTAACAGTGATGCTTGCTTTAGCATTAACAACTAATGCTGAATCAAAGGACTCAAAATTATAGGCACAATCCAGACTGTAAAACTGCATGCAATGAAGTCTACACACTATAGATTATGCAACTATCCCATATTATATGCTAGGGATGGACTGTGTACTTGAATAGTACGACAAATCATCGATGAAACTAATGATCGATGCATGATGGGACTGAATTCTAGAAACACTGCATTTTACTGAATTCTAACAGTAACAATTATACACAAGCGTGTCAAAAATGGGTCTAATTTTCAATTTTGCAATTGGTTATAGAAGTCATTTTCTCCAACACTGCACATACATACCTAAAACACAGGACATGTTCCTCCATTTTTTAAACAGCTAGATGGCAAGCAACTGATTAAATCACAAGATGCTGAAATGCATTTCAAAAAGTATTTTAAGATGTTTTCGTGCACATGGGAATCCTATGCAGAATAAGCTGATGACGTGTGAGTGGGATGACCATGCAAGATGACAGTCAGTGGATGCAGTAATCAGCATGTTGAGTTCAGCACTCTCTATTCGAACCCAAAGCGTGTCATTAAGTATCACCACCCACCTGGCTGCCTCCCCCAGTCCCACATCTCAATGATGGAGTGATGGAAAGATGAAGCCGCCGCCTCCTCCTCTTCCTTCTTTTCCTTATCGTTTGAATCATCTTTCTTTTGGGTGCAATCAGCACAGTCCTCTGTGAAGTGGAGAAATTTTAGACATTTAGAAAACTAGAAATCATCATGAAAAGAATCCAACTTTACAAATATCTAGAAATCCACTAGGAATCAATGGTAACGTGGCTTTTTACCTGGATGGGCGGACTCTTCTCGGTCAAAGACAATCTCTCCATCCTTCACCATCTCGTTCCACATCTCGTTCAGTCCTTCAGGAGAGAAGGCTCGCTGTACCAGAGAGGAGATATTATTATAGCTGTATAATCTTTACCAATTAATTATAGACCTAACGTTTAACTAATATATATAAATATATATACACACACAACAACAACAACAACATCATGTCTCACATACAAAAATGGCAGATAAGGCAGATATCTTTTGGTGACTGACCATTAGCATCTGTAACATTTCTATTTCGGCCAACTAGTCAGCACATTAAAATGCCTCCAAAGGCTCACTGAGGACTTAGCGATAATTACTGAAATTCAGAGCCCAGACTCAAGTTTCAAATGTTAAAAATTAATTTAGACACCAGACTTCAAACTGTAAAAAGCAGAAAGACTTTCACAACCACTGAGTTGAGTGAGGCTAAGAACAGCTACAGCACCTTGAGCAATACTCCAGACAAATGTCACAGAGACCCAAACACACAGATACACATAAACAGCATTTTGAGGTGTTGATTTCTTCAGCTTCACTTCACTACCAGGAAGCAGTACTAAATTCATCCAGTGTTTTGAAACTGAATCTGTTGAACAATTATTCACAGCACATTCATTTTCCCTTCAAAACAAGAGGATATTTTTGCAAAAAAGATGTCAATAATGATATAGTGGTTAAAAAAGGCATAATGGCAAACCATAATTAACAGAGAATTGGGCAGTCTGGAGAGAAATAAAATTGCTGTGTAATCACTTTAATATAGCAATGTACCAACTGACAGGGCTTATTGTATAGTTTAAAGCATTAGCTGACAAAGATTTTTTCCATGAAAAAAAAAAAAGACATACTGTACCTGATTATCTATATAATCAAGTGAAACAAGATCAAAATTGAATCAAATTGCAAGATTGTGAATCGAAATCTAAACAAATCAAAATTTGTCCCAGCACTACTTACTGAAATTATAAATATACATATGTACATTTATATATATACATACATACATACATACATACATATATATTAGGGGTGTAACGGTACGCGTATCGTGTACCGAATGGTTCACGGCCAAATTCCAAATGGAAGTGCGAGTGGCTGTGAATGACGGTGACGGTATATAAATGCATCATCATTCATTCATAATGTACAAATTAAGCTTTTAATGTGATTTAAACTTTAAAAGTACATTAAAATAGAAACAACACAAAGTTCTTCAACATGGAAAGCAATAGAAATGTAGTAACTAAGTCATTTCCCCAGATAATTCTTTCATATCGGGCTCTGTAATTTTGTTCCTTAAATAACCCATGATTTAACTAAAATGAGGGAACAAATTAATAAATCGATGAAGATTTATCATGAAATCTTTCATTTCCCTTAGATGCGAAAACAGTGATAAAAAGTGAATGACAATAAAATAAACCTGCGAAATTCGAGGGTTAGACGGTGAGGATTTAGGAAAAGAAACAATGACTAAATATTATCGAATTTGTGGAAATTCGTGACCAACCGGCA